ATTGATCGTTGCAAATTTGCATACATTTTCCATATTTCAAAGTTTTGTGTTGTCGCTTCTTCACTTTGGGGCTTTAATTGTATGATTCCTATCTTGTTGTGAGCGGAGCAAACTGATTCTGGCAACAACTCACTTCCAATAAACGCGGTCATCGCCGCCACTGCAGTGCGCGTGCCGCGCGTAAAGGCGCAGGGCGGATGCGCCGTACTGGCCCGCTTCAGAGGCAGCAGAAGGAGCAGGAGGAGGGCGCCGTGGATTACTGTACCGCCAGTGGGTTAAGATGCTTAGCAACTAATTACCTGTCAACTAAAATCCCCTGCCATACAGCCCAAACAAGCTGTGTGAGGGACAGAGAGTGGACTGTGGACTGAAGAAGTACCTAAAAGAAGGTCAACTCTCCTCCCAAGGCCCGGCTCATGCTGCTGAAGACCACCGGCAAGCTATCTGATGCAAGTAAAGGGTTGTCTGGTCGTGAAGAAGTTCTCCTGCTGCTTTTTCGGAAACGTTCTCTTCTTGTCCCTTTATGACTAAAACGTAGTTGTGTGGAAATTGCGGGTATTGGATCATTTTTGTAAGGTAAGACTCCGAACATCACCATGACCATGATCCTGATCGTTGAATTAGTCACACGGCACTTATATGTGTTTAGTGTGGATTAAGGTATTTATCTTGTTCATGTATCTTTAGCTGCTCTGATGGTCAGCACAGCCCTTTTGGATTGATTCAGTCTACTCCACATTTCATAATGTAAACATTTGATTCTGTAAACAAAGAGGTTTATTGACCTCAACAACATTCATCATAATAGGAAAATGCCATTGACTCAATGTGGGGAATAAGGTTCTTTGGGATTTTAAGAAAGAAATCAAGGTGAGGTGCAACTAAACGCAGCAACTCCTGAAGATTTCTGTTTACTCTCGGTCTCTATGTCTCTGCCCCCCCCCCTCTCCTCCCCCCTTCCACACCCTCCCTCTAGCTTTTCACTCTATTGATCCCTCCCGGAAACGGGAAGATGAGCCCTGCTTTGGGACCCATTTGGAGCATCTCAAAAATCACTCAGCACATCATTCCCTACAGCCAGAATCAATGTGAGAGGATGACCTGCTTCTCCAGCGGCATCAGGGGGGATCAGTAGGGGCACGCAGGCCAGAAACAGCTACAACAATAATCGTATGATTATTGACTTTCTGAAACACATGTAAGTTAGTTTGTTGTTTGGACAACACAGGTTATGATTTCTGTACACGTTTTCATGAAGAAACCGAGTGACCAACCACCATTGCAGACCTGTTAACCTGCATGCCAGGCGAAGGGCAGGGCCGTATTTACTGTCCATCGTGTGTGTTGAGCAAAGCCCAGACGAGGGAAGGTACGCAGCGGATTCTGATACTGTCTGATCATTTTAAGCTCTGCCAGTGTTGTGCAGAGCTTAAAATGGACGACTGTCTTTTAAGGTCCAAATGAGTCCTTCAGGCCGGCATCTCCCGTCAGGATTCAAATGATGGTCAAGTTATGAATGATTCGCTATACGTAATGTGGGACTATATCTCCTCCTGTTCTGTGTATGGCACTGGTAGAATTCACTGTCGCAGAGAACACTATCAGTGAATCACCATAGGGCCATAAACAGAGTAGAGACAGAACCACAGTGCCTGCCTCCAAACCCCATCTGCTTCAAATGTAAAACCAGCAGGTCCACTCATTCCTCATCTCCTTGGCCCGTTTTGGCACTAGCACATTTTTGCTTTGTCCCTTGTTTGTTTGAGCAAACATGTGTGGTGCCAATTTAGGACAAGGCAGACACTCAGCTGTTCACCAATGTTCCGGTGCCTTTGTGAGAGAGAAACACGGATAGGATGAACTGTGGATTTCATCGATTGAGCCGTCCCTGTCAGAAGCCCCTGGCTACCGTGGAGAACCCGTGCCACCTCTCAGAGACGCTGTCCCGTGTAACCAGAAACCTACCTGTCACTGAAATTGGGTCGCCGTGACGACCGCACTCTCCCACAGTGTTTGGCAATGGTAGAACTCACTCTGGTGGGCTGGAAGGATCCGGTGGTTCTAGACTTGCCAACAACTGACCGAGAGCTTTAACCTTCCGCTTTTAAAAGGTGCTTTCTGAGTGATGGTCGGGCGCGTGGCCGACTGCGGAAGCAGCAGTGAGGGGTTCCAATTGGTGCTCAGCAAGAAAGGACACAAGGTTCACCTTTTCACCTGAAAATATCAAACACAGAACAAGCCACATACAGAAATTCAACACAAGTCCAGTTAGTTTGCTGTTTGGACAACACAGGTTATGAATAATCTGTGTCCTGCCTCTTTTCTCCCTTAAAAATAAGCTACATAGGTCCTTCAGGGTCATCTTGGCGACACTGTGCTGATCATGACACCAAAGTGTAATCTTAAGGTATGAACCGGGAATTCTTTGAACTATTGGCCCATCACCCATATGATCATCGATGCTTCCCGTGGTACAATGTCCACGTAGGCTGTTTGATTAGTGTCCGATAAACGTCCATCGTGTTTCATATAAATGCTGGGAATGTCCATTATGGCCGACTGCAGAGGATGTGAGGTTAAGTGGGGTCAGCAGACGCACGCGGAGGAAGGAGGGAGGCCGACATGCTGACAGCTGGTACGAGTGATTAGCACCATGTAGTGATGCAGGAAGGCATCAAAGCTCTTTAGGGAGAATCCTTAACAGTGAGGAGGTAAGAAAACACACACACACACACACACCTACACACACAAAAGCCTGATGCACAACTTCCTGGTTGCTAAAACCGTTATTAAACTAAGCACACAGGTTCAACAACGTATAGGCTACACAGACCATCTGTCAATCTCAGATGCATCGCCAACCAGGCCCCACCCTCCGCCCCAGGATACACACACACACACACACACACATGCACACACAGATACGCACACGTCCTTTGGCTACGGGGATACTGGTAATAAAGGGGAATGAGTGGCGTCATTAGATTAGATGGGTGTGGAAGTCAGTGGATCTCCTCATTTATCGCTCCTCCTAATGGTTGTTTAATTGCTATTATCTCCATTGTCCTTTTGTACCGTGTTCCTTGCTTCTGTTTTATTAAAGACGTTTTCCACAAATCACAACCTGGTAGTGAGTGTCCCTTTGTTCAGCCCGCAGGAGATTAGCACATAGCACAAACAACATGGGACACGTGAGAGGGGACGACAGACTGGACAAAAGGAGGTGCCAAACTTTGATTAACTTATTAGAAGCAGGCGTTGTGGGACATTTGAGGTACATGAATGCAATGCAGGAGGAGCAGGAGATCCTGGTTACATGGGTCAACCAGGATCTTCAGCCATGCACACAAACACTGGGAGACTAGATTACAGTAATCCAGGGACTCTGGGTATTTATAGGACTTCACCATCAGAGACAGACGGGATACAACGGTTGAGTAAAACAGATAGTGGTTGTCAAATGACTGGCTGGATTTACTTGGAAAACAATTTATATTTATATGGTATCTATCAGGAATTCAGCGAGTAAATGTACAGTAAGTATAAGAGGATCCAGTATGAAAATAAGTCAATGAAAAACATCCTCAGCAGAAAGGCAGAAAACACGATGCCTGTGAACATGTAGGGAGTCTAAGGTAATTAGGTAATTCGTCTAACAATCAACAAATATTTGCACAGTTCAATATGTATCAGTACAATGTTGGACATGCAGGGTAGACCTTCACATTAAAAGGCCCTTATCGCAGCAACCATTTTGACATTGCAGGGTAAACAGGCGTTATTGATACGAATACGTTCTATAGTTTCCCGCTGATTGCAGTGAGTTTTCTGTGTGCGAGACACCAAGTAGATTGGGAGCAGCATTCGATTTTAGCGGTTGCACCCGTGTTTACCGTGCAATGTCAAAATGAATGCTCGTAAGGCCTTTTGACACCAATTCGTAATATCTCTGCGGCTGTGATTCACGGCCTCATTGACGGCAGTTGTTTCCGGGTGCATTTTGATCTACTTGTAATGTAATTTCATGTTATAATCAAGTAGAATGTCCAAAGTATACATTTTGTAAAACAATTTAGCAGTGTCTGTTTCCCGTCCTTGTTGAGGAATTAAGATTATCTCTATAAATCCAGATATTTTAGTATGTTAAGATACTGAACAGTTTACATACGATTTTACAATTAACTACATTCAAATTTAAGGGAAATCTCATATTTCAGCTTTTAAAGACGTCGCCTTTTTTTAAAGTGTGATAAATATATATGCTTATACATAAAGATATGTGTATGTATACATATGTATATACATAAATGTACATAACCGACTGTCCACACTTGTTGATACTTTTGGAATATAATAGAAAAACACTATTATTATAATAATATCCTAATAATCCCCACCGATACACGTTTATTTGTTTATGCAGTCCAGATTAAAGATGAAAATTCCTTGAATAAACACAACACATTTCTGCTTATTTATGGGTATGTATTTTTCAGATTATGCTCTAGTGGCACGTTTAGTTCCCTAAACAGATTCCTGATATGTTCCAGCAGATAATGTTGCATTTTTACTACAAAGACGTTTTTTTTATTTTTTACACCTGAATAAACCAAGTTGAAATGTTTGCACAACGATTATTACTATTCTGGCATTTGACCTGACTTTAGCAGAGAAAAACGTTAAAGGAGACTTTAGTGCTCAGTAAGAAAGTATAAATGATGACGAAAGAGTTCTTACGCCCCCAGCTGGTCAAAAGGTAAGTTATTAGTTTGTTAAGTGAGCTCCAACCAGCAGGAACATTTAACCAGTTTCACATAACAGTATTTGTTTATTGAGGGAAAGTTATATTTTAACAGGCACCTTTATGGGGGCACCTGTATTCATGGGGTTGTGTTATCACAACAGATGTGAGCACAAACATTGAACCACGTAAAATACTTTTCATGCAGGTACATGACGTCTTATTTTGGGGAAGCAGAGACGCAGGGGAAAGAAGCAAATATGTTTATAATATTTTTATTATAATAATAATGAATGCTTCACTACAACTGACATTTAGAAATCAATGAAAAATATGTTGCCTTTGTTGCATTCTGTTTTTATGTGTCCATTGTTTTTATATGTCCATCACAATCCATCAGATATCAAACAACACTGTTTCTACAAGCATCGCCTTAATATCTGGGATACATACAGTATGTCAACCAGCAATTAGTTGATTATCAAGTACAGTTTATCAAAAGTTTTATTCACTTTTGTTAGACAATTATGTGCTTTGTTTAAATGAGGTTTTCAATGTTCAGTTGACTAAGATTACCAATAATATACTGAAAGGTCATCAGATGTTATTGGTTAAATATACAGTATTTTACTGCTACAACAGTACATCTTGTTATTATTTGATGCAGAAGAATAGGTTACTTCGATTCACCATTTTGTGTTTCTCTCAACTAACTATTTTAGCTTTAATTCCGAATTCACCGTGATTACATTGTGAACATTTAAGAACAGGAAAAACATACAAACAACAACAGATACTCAAACTCTTTTTGAGTCTGGGTAAGACTGAGGGCCAGTGCTTTGTCTGCAGGACAGAGAGCTCTCTTTTTAGTCCACCGAAAGGTTAATACCTTTAAAAAAAGAAAGAAATAGATTTCTGTTAATTCATTAAAAGCCTTTCGGTGTTGATTTTCTGTAATAGCAGTGCACAGGCCCTCACCTGTAGTAGTTGGGTTTGAAGGGCCCATGTTTGCTGATGCCCAGGTACTTGGCCTGTTCATCAGTCACCTCCGACAGGTGAGCGTCAAACGTCGGCAGGTGAAGGTTGGCGACATATTCATCTGAAATTAGACGAAGGGAATATTTTTCATGTCTGAGTGAAAGTAATACGTTTAAGGGAAGACAGAAAGGTGAAAAACGATAGCTGATGTTCAAGATGAGGACTTGCCCATCTTCTTTGGCAGCAGGTAGACGTCCTGTTTGTATCGTCCTTCTGGAGCGCTGTACAGCTCAATGAGAGCCAGAGCCTGACAAACAACCGTGAACTTTGACTTAACGACAAGTGACGGCTACCAGCCTCCATTTGACGGATGCTTCCTCTCTAATATGCTCGTTGAATAACACGTTGAACTCAAAACGTATCGGGATACCTGCGTTGTGGCGGTGATGGAGAGGACAAATGAGGGAACTGTGGAGCAGCTCAGGTTCAGCAAACGGCCCTGTGTGAAAATAAAAAAAACACAATGAAATGACTGTGATGTTAAAGCAGCCGCTGATGGCTACCTAATACACATCTGGAATTCTATAATGTCAAATTATTATACAGAATTCTCCTCAAGCATGCCTCCGTCTGTCCTTCTGCACACTTGATAAAATGTGATCAGGTAGATCTGTTCCTACTGCACATCAACAACTTAATTCATCATCATAAGTGTAGCTGTAAGACTGCACTGGAAACATTGCTTCCTGAAATGAGGTTATATTAACATATAGTTATCATTGAAAACATACTCAATCCCAACTGTCAATAGATGCAACCCAATAAGCACAAGCATTTCTAACTTTATTACTGAAGCAGGAAGCCAGTCATTAGTGCAACGAGAGCCTCTTTACTATCAACACCATCAACAATGATAACGACTTCGTCACCTCAGCCAGCAGGACGATTCTCTTGCCGTCCGGCCAAACAACGTGGTCCACTTGCGGCCTCACACGCTCCCACCTGAGCTCTGCAGTCTGCAGGCTCCCCTGAGAGAAAACATTCCAAAGCAACTATATATACGGGGAACATGCACACATACACACACACACACACACAAAAAGCCATTCATAAACACACAAACTGTTCGTACCAAATCAATCTCGCTGCTGGAGTTTCCCATGTTGCAGAGTATGCAGCCGTCCTTCATTCTCTCCAGATGTTCCCTTCCCACCACGTGTTTATTGCCTGCAGAGAAAATCAGATGAAGCAAACAGTAACTGCAACAGTATTGATGTTTTTTTTTTTTTAATAACAACGATTACCTGTGCAGGTGATGACCAAGTCTACCTGCCGGGCCACTTCAATCAGTTTAACCACTCTGAAGCCATCCATGCTGAGAGGAGGAGAGAAAAGGGAGTCCCACATGTCATACTGTAAAACACTCTTCACATCCATGCTGGTATAAGAGCTTGCTCCATTTATTCATACCAGGCCTGCAGGGCGCAAATGGGATCCACTTCTGTGACGTACATAATAGTGCCCAACGCTTTCAGGGCAGCGCAGCAACCTTTGCCGACCTGCAAGAAGAGAGAAAGGATGTTGGTGAAGCTGCGTGAATGCATGTCACACGTGCTCAGCAGCACAGGGAATATTCATTGCTTCACTGACCTCCCCGTATCCGCACACTACCACCTGTTTTCCTCCAAACATGACGCCAGTGGTCCTCTTCAACCTGACCGAAGAGATCAACGCAGTCAGGCTTTGTATTGTAGCAACGGCTTCACAAAACGCTCACAACAGGGTCCACTACCCGTCCAGTATGGACTCCTTGCAGCTGTAAAGGTTGTCGAACTTCTGCTTGGTCACCGAGTCGTTGACGTTGATAGCCGGGACAATCAGCCTGCCTGCCTTTGACATCTGGTATAACCTGAAACGCCGGTTGGGAGACACGTGTGTGAAGTGAAGAAGGACTGTGTGGGAACGTCATTGCAGTTTAGTAAGGAACTCACCGATGGATGCCGGTAACACTTTCCTCCACGACGCCTTTGATATTCTGGAACAGGCTTGGGTGCTTCTTATGGATCCAGTGGGTCAGATCGCCGCCATCATCCAGTATCTGAGGGGTGGGGGGAATAAACTCTTTATCAATGCTTTTGTAGTAGTTAAAGGCCCTTTTGACCCAACCGTCAAAACACATTCATGCAAATCCCTCCATTGTGTTTAGCATATAGGCCTTGGTTCTGCTTAGTGTGTTAAATTCAATTTTACATTTGTTACTCATGTGTTAAAAAAGTAAACAGCATATTTATTCAATATTATATTCAGAAAAAAACATAACCATTAAGGTAATAAGGTAAAAAAAATAACACCAAAAGGAGAAAAACAGGAACAAGAATCCATCAATCTTGAAATGAATTAGGAGAACTGTCCTCTCATTGACAACGGTACCATGTTGGGCTGCCAGGTCTCAGCACCGACGCATCGGTCGATACACCACCAGAAGTCCTCTTCTGATTCTCCTTTCCATGCAAACACCGGAGTGCCTAAGATACCGGGCAGGTGACGTAATGAAAGCAAATCTGATCAGTCAGTCTTGAGGACCAGGTTGCAGAGACAGTCTCACCTCCTTCGGCCAGAGCAGCGGCCACAGCGTTCTGAGTGGAGAAGATGTTACAGGCTGCCCAGCGACACTCGGCTCCCAAAACCGAGAGAGTCTCGATCAACACCTGCAAGACAAACCAGCATCAGTTTAAAAGAAATGTGTAATAAAAAAATATACATCCGAGTGTGTGTGTTTGCTGAACTGACCGCAGTGTGTGCAGTGATGTGCGTGCACCCTAAGACTTTGGCTCCAGCCAATGGCTTCTCCCCGCCTGCTCCTTTCCTCAGGACCATTAGCGCTGGCATTTCTGAACATTTAGGGAGTGACAGAGTTGCATTCGTTTTGGGAGACATGCAGAGCGATTACTTCAGTAAATGTTCTGAGATTCAATTCAGCTGCCTTTATTGATGGGCTTTTTTCGTGTTGGCTGTATGGTGCAGTAAATGCCATGTAGGCGCTTTTTCATTATCGTTAAACAGCGGCCTGCCGACTCTTTGTCTTTACCTTTCTGGGCATTTGTTATTTCTCTGCGCCCAAATTCCGCCTGTTTGATGTTTTTGACGCAGAAGTCAGAGAGGCCCTGGTGAGTCTTCTGAGACCTGTCCCGGGGAGAGGACTCGTCCTCCGAGCTGCCACTGCCCACTGCAACACAGAAGTTAGGGAATGTGTATGGAAACAATCAGCTGATATGATGTAATATCCCAAAACAAATATATATAGATATTATTGTGGGAAAAGCTTGAAAGTTATGAAAAGCCTCTGGTTTTTGCGTTTGGAGTCAAATTCAAAAGCTTTTGAGTCTGTAAAAACTCTGGCAGTGAATGAGAGGTTTTAGAAAGGCTCACAGGTCCGATTAGGACCAAATTAAACAGACTTATTTCTTCACAAAGACTTTTCCTTTTAATGAAGGTTTAGCTGGAGAAGGAGAAAGCGCACAGGCTAATCCCTGAGGTCTTTGCTTCTCATGCTGCTCGGCTCAGAAACAGCTCAGTTTATGTAAAAAAAAAAAAAAAAAGACATGTGATCAGGCTTGAGAGCGTGCGTGTGTGTTGCGTGTTTGCATGTCTCCGTACCTGAACCATAGCTATCTGTGGAGGACTGCGAGATGGAATGAGACAGCGTGCGACGACCAGTGTTGGCGGTACGTTTGCTGAGTTCTTGCTTCTGCTCAGTGAACTCTATTTGCTTTGGAGCAAGACGTGACACAAACACACAAAGTACACTTGTTACTTCACTGCACGTCACAAACATAAAGTTCCACCAACCACATACCTGACATGAGAGTCAAAATCACAGCTACGCGTTGCAATCACATCGCAGACTTTCTCGTAGAGAACAGCCTGTCACTATCACACAAACCTCCTTCCCTTCCCTTGAAGCTTCCCCGAGTCTGCTGCTGTCTCACCGTGCCGTGTGGCTGTTTGAAGGCTACGCTGTTGCCACATGATTCCCTCTTGTCCATGTTCGCTCCCCGCCTGCTTGCCTGACTCTGCTGCCTCGAAAAGGAACATTCAGACACACACTTGCTCACTCAGCCCGCCTCCGAAAAAGCCAAAGTGTGCACTGAGAGCTTTAAGTATCAGGGCCAAAAGGTTCAATGGGATCATTTAGCTGGCAACTCTGCATTTAGAAATGATTTGCGTATGAAACTGCAGAATACTGTATGTGTATGACAGTCACGCACACACTGCTGCAGAAAATCTTTATTTGTGTTTTTTAAGGGCGGATCCACACGCAGAGTAAAAAAAAAACGGACAAAATTCTGAATGATGAATAAATAAAATCTTACGAGGCATCTTTTAAGGCATCGTTTTGGTTAAAAACTGGGCAGGCACCCTCGCCTTATAGATCAGACTAAATGGGCTGTCAAACAGCATTGTGGGAAGAGTGGGATCCAGTTCCTTCAGAGATTGGCTCACACTATGGACCCAAAGACCTTTGAATCTTTAGATTTGTATCTTTTCTTTTCTAGTTTCAAGAACTTGAAAGATCACAAATCAGAAAAAAACCCATCTGATCAGTGGGATGTTAAGGTGCTGTTGCTCGTCTCTCTTAATCAGACGTTTTTAGAAAAGAAAAAAAAATTCTATCCCGCTATGACACGAAGGCCCAAGGTGACCTTCTCCATTATCAACAATGACAGATCCCACGCAACGACATATCATCTGACGCGTCGCGTCAAGCTCTAACTTTCTTCGAACATGTTTCGGTATACTGGCTCTATGCACAGTAAATACGAACCGCTGACATTAGCGTCACAGTCATTCGTCTTGTGATATTTGTCAGAGCTGAATTCGAGAAAGGCTTCAATCACTACCATTCAGGCCCAAGCGAGGCGTCTTTCCCGTTATGAAGCTCATCGAGCTGTCCTCTGATCCTCGTTAGGAGAGATTAAACATGAGGTGCTGAACATTCATAACGAGAATAACGAGAGAGCTTTTCAGCCCTCTGACGTCCTTTGACTTCAGTTTGACCAATTACCGTTCTAATGTATTTGCAGTAACCACTTTATCATGCAGCTTTAAAATAAATGAATAATATGTCTAATTGTTTTCCTTCTTAATGTCAGTGATATAAAATTGACAGACATGGAGTTAAAATGACAGACCGCCAACAATGTATTTTTATTGTAAGTAATGGCTCCTTGGAATAACCTGTGGAATACAGCTCGCACTTACGCAAGCAGCTGCTCAATCTTTAACAAGCTGTGGCTGGAGGCAAGTTGTGAAAGTTAACTTAATGATTACAAAACCATCTCTTACAGCACTCAGAAAACCGGTTTGAATCCAACACAGTTACTACGAAAGAACTGCGTTTGTAAATGTGTCAAAAATTCCTCTTCAGAAACCATTGATTTGTAACCTAAAAAATCTATTCATTTTTTGTCACTTTAATCCCTAAAACCCAAAACAATGCTCAGTTGTAGTGGTTAAAACATTTATAACAGGTTCATTTTACTCGTACTCACAACATAATGGTTAGTAGTAATTCATTATTAAAATCTGACTCGCTAGCTGAAAGACAATTCTAAAAGAGACATCGCTCCTAAAACAAAAGCAGCGATACCTTTATGACGATGGTTTGCACCGGCTCCTGGTCCTGGACTTTATTTACATTCGCGAGATTGTACATTTTCCTCATCCTGGGCGAGTTACTCTCACACTGACCACAGCTACTCTGCAGCACTGCAAGCGGATGCAGTTAAACTGATCACCGAGTTCACAGAGGGACGCTATACAACACACCTTCACCCCTATCAGGCCCAGGTGACGAGACAAAGGGTCTTTGTGAGGCTTACACAGAGGAACTCTGGGAAAATATAGAAGAATAGGGTTAGAGACGAAGAGAGGAGAGAGTTGTAAAGGGAACAGAAGCTCGGTCAAGTGTTACACCGGGCAACAGATGTGTATGTATATAACAGGTATGTATTTACAGTAAACATCATCTATTAAATAGACAACAGAGGGATGTACGTACACAGTTTGTAAGCAATGAGATCCAGAGGTTTGCTAAACTTTTGGTGTTAAAACTAAACTTTATTTATCAAGCCACGCGGTTTTCACAGCACCATCTCCGATCTTTTACTTTTTCAAATGCAGCAGTGCGCCCAGAGTTAAAATGAGATAAAATATGTCATTTACCAGAGTGTCTTCCAGCAGCTGCACATTAAACAACTTTTCAGGCAACAGATGCAGACAAAATAATTCCTTGTCAAAGCACATACTTTTGGATCAAAAGATGAAAAAAATAGTTTGATATACCTTCCTCCAATCTATTTCTGACTATTGTTTAGTTCCACAAAGAGACTAGCTCTCCTAAACCAATATGAGTCTGCAGCAAATTCCAAGCTGCCAGAGCAACGTACCTAAAACCCCTTTCTGCTATTTCAACACGGCCATCGAAGACCTGCAGAGAGCGCAGATAGAAGCTTCCAGCTTATTTCTGATGGATATGTTTAAATATGTATATATACCTACATATATATGAAGGAAGTAAGGTTAAGAATAGCCTTATATATGAGGACAATGCAGGTCAACTATCCAACTAGCATATATAACGACCCTCAGTGCTCCATAGTACAAAGTATCAGATGAGGAAAGGCATTGAAAAGATGCATTCATATATCCCCACAGTCAATGTCAGATGTAAAAGCAGCAGCACCAGATCTCCATTTCACACTTATTTTTTAAATATAATATCCAGCCGCAGCTTTAACGCCTTCACAACAAGCTGAATGTGAGGTTTAAAAGAAACACTATACTTCTCCTTCAAGTCAGAGACGACAGAAGCTGAGTATGTGTGAGTGCACGGTCAAACATTCATAGAGGCACCTTGAAGAACCATTGACAGCCCTGAGTATATGCAGATCCACGCTTCCTGTTCAGCACGCCTACAGGCGTGAAACGTCTTCATCTTTACAGGCCCGACCAACAACGCAGGCAAAGTCAAGAAATGTCTCAGCTCACCATGTCAGTCTTCAGAGCTTCAGCCACCGGCTCTCCTGTCCCAGACGCGTCCGCCCCGTCCCTGTCCAGACCGGGAGGTGTAGTCCTCCTGCACTCCGCTGCCTTCAGCATCTGCAGCAGGTTGGGGCTGCATTTTACCGACTGATGTTTGGTGTTTTCCTCCTCCGCCTTTCCGTTGACCGCTTGAGGTTCCGGATAGTCATCCGGTAGTGGCAGGTCCTCCCAGGAGCCTCCTGGCTGGTCCCTCTCCTCTGCCATTACTCCACTGGCAGCCGGAGGTGGAGTGAAACAGAGTCCTTCTCAGGTGATCGGGCAGCCGACCAGCTGACGGTTTGGCCATCCGGTGCCCACATGCACACTGCCTTTCCTCTGTTTACCCCAAACAGCATCAGCTCTCGGGTTACCTTGACTCAATGTAAAGGACATAATTAGACCTGTATGCAGTGTGCAGGGTAGATGTGCAACTCACCTCCACCAAAGTGCCATGTAGGTAGATGTGGACATGTGCCCTCATGTGGTCTTTTGAACTGAAAGGTTTCCGGTTAATTTAGAAGCACTCAGAATCAAGACCGTAGGCTCAGACTTGCAAGGCCACTTCTTGCTTTTGTGTTGTCTTTGATAACATTTGCTCAAGCCACAATGAGCACAAAGCCCTGAGTGCAATGCAAACAGAGAGTTTCATTACATTATAAACAGGCGAGGTCAGGTGTTTTCATTAAACCCCTCCAGCTTTAGCGTGTCCCCACGGTAACCGACACCCTTTACCAGACCTTTAGGAGATGGATCTGAAGTCTGGCCTTGGTTTGCTGCAGTTTGGTCAGAGTCAGTTGTTCCAAAGCATCACATTCAAAAAAAAACAAAAAAACATTTAACACTGAAAACAAAAAGTTGTTCTGCCAGAACGAGCAAACAGGACGTGCAACAAGGGACGCAATAGTTAGACACTATTTCTGATTTGGATTTCTTTTGGATTTCAAAAATCAGTGATTGCCATTCTTTGCATTTTTTTGGTTATTCTGTAATCATTGCATGCATCACTAATACATATTCTAAAAACAAAAATATTTTCAATTGTGATAAATATATATATCAATTAGTGACAGAATAAAATGTATTGTTTTTGGTCAATTTTGACAGCTGTTTGGAGGATTATTTTATGAGGCCAAACTCTTTCTACCTTGCTGTAGGCCTATACTGAAAGGCTGAATACGTTAAAGCCTACCTAATCACTGTAGCCTGACGGATGAACAAATAAAATTAAAACCTCATGAATAAATAGGATATCTTGTAAGATACTGCATGATCCAAATATAGTATTATTTGATACATTTTTAAAGTTTTCATTACATTATGGGCATGAAATCCACGCTGAATCCACCCTTCTGATGGGATCAGTTTATTCCAGATTTTTTGGATCAAAGTGATCCAAATCCTACAAAAAGTTCTGAAAAACCCAAACTAAAGGTTTGATCCGGATCTAAACCAATATTGGATTACGTGATCTAATCCGATTATGTAATCCGTTTTTTCTTTTGAAAAATCCATTTTCAAGATTTGATCCAATCCGTTCTCCAAAATCCTAGTGGATTACTTTTGAAAAACCGGGCCCAGAAGATTATAACTTTGGATGGTACCCACTTTATTTTTCTTCCTCCGAGTTCTATGGCATCCTTTTAGATTAAGATATGGTTTTTAATACAATATAACAGAACAACAAGGTTTTTTTCATCCATTAGATTGAACCCTCTTGGAACCTAACATCTTTTACCATTGGGGTCAATTTGACCACAGCTATTTAAAAACCCAGATAATGATCATAATTAGGAACTTTGTGCTTGTTTCTTGACTACCTAAAAAATACATTCAATTAAAGAAAAAAGACAACCACCCCCGTAAACATCTGGGAATACCTGCTTGGCGACTTTGGAGAAATATTTTTCAGATGCTTCCCCGGGGGATTTACCAGTGTACACCTGCATATTCCAGGCGTATCTAGACACGTCATCATCCACAGTCACGTAGGGGCCTGGATGATAAAGAAAAGTGGAATCGCTGAAGCCACTTGTCCCATATGTCCCGTATCGTTGCAAGTTTGTCCCGCTCTCGTCGGCGCCGCCTTGTTTCTCGGTCATCAAAGCGCGTGACACAGGAGAAAACATGGAAGGTGTATAGAGACGTGGGGGCTGGAAACATTGCCCTTCCCGTGTCAGCATTGCAAAGGTTCGCTGTTCGCTCTGACCTTTTGACTTGTACACTCCTGCCAGAATGAGCGACTCAATGTAGTCACGCCTGCCCTCTGGATTTGTCATCTCAAGTATGTCCTTTTTGCTTGATGTGTGTAATGAAGAGCTCAAATGGTGATTTTATGTCATGGACATGGCTGACAGCGTAACTGGTGGGACGTGGAACCAGCTACAACCCCTCCACCGAACCCAAATTCATTCAAACGTGTTACTTTGTCGATTATTGGATAATATACTGCAGGTGCTTGTGCTTGTTTTATACAACAGCCTGGGGTCAAATTGACCCCAAAGAGCACTGATGCGAACAGCATGTATATTATGTTAATTTTATGTTTACCCAGTTGTTCCCAATAAATTGGGAAAGGTGATAAAATATGAAGCAAAAAAGATGATGTTAATAATTTATTTGGAGACGTTAAACATTGAATGAGGTCAAATTGACCCCAAAAGTAATAGGAAGGCTAAACAAACAGCCAGTGTGAACAGGAGGAATGATTGAAGCAAGCAAACTGGTTTCATTTGAGGACCTGACTGGTGTTAAAGTGGACATGACGCATTGCGAACCGCCATTGAAGGTTTTAGTTTTAGTTACTTTTGATGAAACGGATTTGGTTAATAATTCTAACATACACAAGTTTCAATTAACATTTTTTAACATAATTTGTTATCTTACTGTGCAGTTTGGAGTAAACAGTAACAACAGAAGCTCACATTCATAAAAGTTCTCCTTCACAGTATAATACAAATGTTTTACAAATGCATGTTGCAAATGGTGACGCAACAGTTATTTCGGTTTTCTGCCACTGAACTTGTGTCCCTGAATAACATGTGTTTTCTTCCACCAGAGGGCACAACGGTTCCACAGGCGTTTCCCCGTGTAGAGACAGAGGAACCTTTTGTCCTTTCTCTGCTTAGTGTGAGACGTTTGAGAATGTTTTCTTCTTCTTCTCTGTTTCTGTGTGCAAAGGGGAACCAGGAGAGGTTTATGACGCTCAGTCCAGAGGGAGGAGAAATGGGAGGAAAAAACACTCTCTGTCTCTCGCATTCTCTCCCTCCCTCCCTCCCCCCAAACTTTTCTCTGTTTCTCATTTCTGTCGGAATTTCAGACTCTGGTGTTAAATTAGAAAGGGTTTGTCCCGGCGGTCAGTTGGACCTTCAGACTTTTGATTAGGTTCTGTGGTCTGGTTCTGTGTGTTAAACCTTGTTCACTTTCCTGCACATCATCTTTTTTTTAGTGTTAAGAATGTAGCTGGACAAAAGTAAGTTAGAGTCAATAAGAAAAGGAAAAATGATCATATTTGTTGGCTACATATCAAAACGTAGGCAACAAATATCTAATTATATACTTGTCCTGACGGTTTCTGCTGTTTCCTCCAGTGCATAAACTGCTGCAGTAAAGCACTTTCTTTGTGGTACACTGCGTAGTTCCTCCCAACATGCAGCAGACCAGCAGGGATTGGCCAAAGGTTTTCCTGTGCTGGTAGAGCCAATAAATCAGACTGCATTGTTTTTTTTGCACTGAACCACGTTACATCAGAGCACATAGGCAAAGAAAACGTTATCTCTTTATCATTGTGTCTTTTAGTATTTTATTATTATTAATAATAGATGAATGAGGAGCGGTTATGTACGAAGATCACATTTGGGCTCATTTCACAATAACATGGACAACAGATTTAATTATTTTACTATAAAAAATAATATTACACACAACCCCCCCCGCCCCCCACACCCCCCAGCTGCTAATATTTTATTATTTCATTCTTCCTTTTCTCAACTCGCTTGAAAGAAAATGTTTCACAGAGCCCACATTTTCAGTTGGGCTGATTTTCTTCTATTTCACAGCTCCACGTTGACACAAACTCTCAAAATAAAGTGTCCTTCTCTATAGTAAATCAACTTCTTGTCGTATTTTTACTTTTTATACATCTTATAATCACTGTTATGGTCACAAAACACTCACATTAACCACACTTTTACTGTCTGCGTACAACATGGTTGCATATTAAACAGAATACTGCACTTGTGTGCTTGTGTAGCAGGAGCAAAGTGGAAAACATCTTGCATGGCAAATCCTCAGCTGACACTCAATCAAGCTACTTCTTCACAATGAAAACTACATTTTCACAAGAATGCATTGAATTAGAACACAATGGATTTAAAAATCATGAAACGTGTAGAATACAAAGCACAGTCTCCTTCTCAGTGACATTTAGAAAAGGTTCCACTGAAAACTAATAAGAACACAACTATTCTATAGCTTGACGTCTGTGAGTCGTCACGTTATTTTGAACATCACAAACTCGGGTCACTGTTCTGACCCTTATCGCGCCGTACGTATGTTCTTGTACTGGCACAGGAGCAGGTGCTTGAAGGTGTTTTTGAAGGTGGCGTTGCAGAGGGCGTAGCAGGCTGGGTTGATGGTGCTGTTGATGTAGCAGAGCCAGTAGCCGATGGTCCAGAGGGAGTTTGGGATGCAGACGGAACAGAAGGTGTTGATCAGGACCATCACGTTGTACGGCGTCCACGTGGCAACGAAAGCGACCAGGATGGCCATGATGGTGCGCGTCACCTTTTTCTCCCTGGAAGAAATGCCCTTCCTTTTCCACTTTGCAACAGCGTCCTGCTTTGTCATCTAGAAATGAGAGTAGAAAAGATGTTGTTTATTGTTCTTGGGTGAGGGTTAGGGTTCGACGCATTGGATATTTACAAAGTTTTAAGGCTAACTTGTAAGCTAACAAGTACTTATTTACACATACAGAAAATATGGAGGAACAATAGCTTTCTTTTTGAAATGCATTTCTGGCCACCTGGAGAACGTTAGCACGTATGGGATTTTGAACTGGATGTTCATCATCTAATCAGCATGTTAGCATGCTAACATTTCTCAATCGCAATGAACAGAAATTAAAGCTGAGGCTGATGGGAATGTGTTCAATTTAGCAGATAATTAAATAATCAAAAATATATTTTTTATATGTATATTCAAATTTGGATCACTACAGTTCACCCTGAGGTCAACAAGAATCTCTAAACCTAATTGTATGACAAGCCAGCCACTAGAAACATTTCACACAAAGCACAATGGGAACCCCTTAGTGGTGCTGAAGGGTCACAGGATCGCTAGAGCAAGCTTCACCCTCAGAGGACAATGATTTTCTGTACCAAACTTTATGACAATCCACCCTGTGGAGGAGGTATTTGGAGACGCTGTAAGGTCCGACGGTGCTTTACCTAAAGCGCTGGAGCTTTAAGTCTAATTCAAACTGTGTTTTATTCCAAATCATAAGGTCAAAGCTTTGAGCCAGGCGAGAACTTTACCTTTAACAGTGTCCTCGCTGGCACACTTTGTCTGTCAGCTGATTTCTCTGAAGAAGGTGTTTGCTTTGTAGTTTCTCCACAATCAGGATCTTTCCCTGATGAATCGGGGGCCTCGGTGTCCTTAGTTGTTGACGCACGGTTCCTCTCCTCATGACGGGGCCCATTTCCATTTGGCTTCTGCAGCATTTCCTTCTCCTTTTGGCCTTTAGCCTCCAGCTGAGCCTCCTTTCCTGTGATGCAGTTGTTCTGGCGCTCACACGCCTCATCCTGGCTGTGAGAGGGGCCCTCTCCCAGACTGGTGCCTGAGATCTTTCTGCTGCTCTTCCTCATGCGGCTGCGGCTCGCCTTGGATATGCGCCAGTACAGGTAGATCATGATGGCGACTGGGAGGTAAAAAGCCGCTATGGCGGTCCCGAACGTCACCGCGGGATTTGAGAAAAACTGGATGTAGCACTCGCCGAACGGCACGGTCCTCCCGCCCGAAACGAACTGCCAAAACAAAATGGCGGGAGCCCAGAGAATGAAGGACATGACCCAGGCCGCCGCAATCATCAGACCCGCCATCTTGGTGCTGCGGCGCGCCGGGTAGCTGAGCGGTTTGGTGACGCAGAAGTAACGGTCGAAACTAATGATGAGCAGGTTCATGACGGAGGCGTTGCTGACGACATAATCAACAGCCAGCCACAGATCACACACCACGGCTCCCAGGGGCCAGTAGCCGATCACTATATAGACCGTGTAGAGGTTCATGGAGCAGACGCCAATAATGAGGTCTGCACAGGCCAGGCTGAACAGGAAGTAGTTGTTGACTGTCTGCAGGTTCCTGTTTACCTTTAGAGAAACAGAATGGGGCAGGCTGTCAGATACTAATCTTTTTTTGTCTGCGCATATTAGATTACCTCTCTGTACACGGTTGCACGTGCCGTATTGTCCTGGTGTACTTTTCAAGGTGTTTAGGAGGATACATTTTGAATCGTAAATGATTTGAATCGTAAAAGCAGAAAGTCCGAACCTTTATGGAGAGCATGACCAGGATGTTTCCGATCACAGTGATCACACTCACAGTTGCAGCCACCAGGACGATGAGGACGATCTCCACAGCTGAGTACGGGCTTCCAGAGGAGCGGCCGGCGTCGTCACCACTGCTGCTGAAGTTGGTGTGGGACAAATTCAGAGTCTTCATGCTGTCGGGTTTTGGATATCCGTCTCAGGCTCAAATCATCACTCTCCAATACCTGATGAACACAAAAATTCTAAAGTTAAATCTCTTTCAATGGGTTTTTTCGGATACCAGTTACTTTTCTACTGCTCTGCTTATTTCTCTCTGCACAGCTACAAATTGCTAAATAATGCGTAGCTTTCAGAGTGTAAACCTCCTGCCGGTTTGAGGGTTTTTTAGGTGTGACCAGGTGAGCAAATATGGGCAGCAACAGCTGTGTTTGCTGTGTCTGCTATTGTACGTTCAGCTTGTAGATGTTAATTACCTCGAAGGACTTTTTGAAACCATGTTTTATTATGATTATTTGTTTGGGGGAGTTTTATACTTATATGAGGGATTCCTTGGCCTGAGCTCTACTCTCTTCAGGAACATCATGAGCGACCTGAAAGTTTTACGAGACAGAGCTTCCTACACCTCCACAGAGTTCTTGAACGACACAAATCTCCCCTTCATAGTGTAAGAAAATTAAAGGATACCAAGGAATAACACAAAATCTCCTAATCTTTTTAATGTGTATATTGACCAATTTCCAACCACACAAAAAATACAAACGGTTCCAAATACCGCACCTGCTAAACACCTGTTTGGTTGTGTATTCAAAAGCTTACCAGCAAACAGTCAGTAAAACACCACAATAAAGGCATTAAAGGCAATAAAGTATTCCTACAGTTACTGTAATGTTTTAATATGTTATAAAACATCAGGAATACACCAATGTACACAGCATATCAATGTCATTAACTGATGTATTCTGATCATAAAATCAATGTCAAGATACTTAGTTGAGACCATGATGGTTGTTGGACGCTGCTGAAACCATGTAAGTGACTCCATTAGGCCCCTTGATAACATCATCGTGCACCTGAGAGATGTTTCCTTCCTGCTCTTAGAAGTCAGATGAAACTTCATTACAGCATCTCCAGCTTTATCCCTTACTAATCAAAGACCCATTCTGAGCCTTTTCTCTCGCAGACGAGAAAGAGCTTTGTGTGTGTGTTTGCGTGTTTAGTTCTTAGGTCTCGACAGCCTCTGATTCATAGGTTTGACTTGTCTAAAATGACCTGGTTAGATTTGAGCAAACAAATGGGGGTTGGATTAGAGTTAGTATGCGGTTAGGGTGTGTGTGTGCACATTAGCGCCTCACCGTAGAGACATTTTGTGTTTTTATCAGTTTATAATCACGTAAAACTACGAATTCTTGTGTTTCCGTTTCCTTATAATGAGCCCTTCTTGTCTGCAAAAGGGTCCTCTTCGCTGACTCCGTGATGTTGCACCTACATGTCTGTAGAGTTGCCCAGAACAGTCAAACCAAACTCCAAGAGCCTGCACTCGGGAACAGTGCAAAATCTTTTATTTCCACATTTGACAGGAAGTTTTTCCAAACCATTCTCACAGTTTTGCACCTGTGTCTTTTTTGCTGTCTTTCCGTATTCGTGTTAGGGTTGGCGACGAGGCCGCTGCCCCTCGCTCGGCCTACTGCGACACCCAGTTTGGGAACCACAGGCAATGCTGGAAAAAAGGCTTCTTCCCTTCATTCACGCTAACACGCCCTACATTACTGGACCTCCCTAATTGTAATGGAGGGTTACTGGAGAGAGTCAGGGAGGCAAGCAGCATTTCTCTGACAGGCACAGAAACATGGTAATTAGATCCAGCAGAAGCCGCCTGCAACAGCTGCACCGGTAATAAGCGTCTAGTAGTACTCATCGGGCTGGGCGAGCTCGGCTTTAAGAAGTCTCTGATATGACGAGCGATACCACAGTCCGCTGCAGAGTGCTTCACTGGCCGGGGAGAGGGGCTTGTTTGCAGAGACTTTAGTTTCTGTCACGTCAAAGAAAAGCTTTAACGACTGCAGGGATTCAAAGGGTTACACTACTCAATATTTATTTGAAAAAGAGATTCCGATCTCATAAATGTATTTTATGGTTTAATGAACAAACGTATTTCAGACAGAAAGTCTGTAGCATCATTGTGGATGTTTGCCAAGATGGATTTTAATCAGCAACTGCAAAGCTTGTAAATACAAATGCATGCATATGACATTGAGGGAAAGATACGCAAATTCGGTACATACATCGTTATAGGCATTGTTTGACCGAGACGTTCTAATTTGTGAAAACAACATTTGAATAATTATAGACCAACTATTATATGACCAGTTGGAAATTTCACATCAACCTGAGCTTTGGCTTCGCACAGCAGTGTAACAGACAGAAGAAAATAGAAACACTGAATATTCAACCCACGCACTGCCACAGAGCCAGTAAGAAAGAAAAGTGAAGAGGAAAAAAAAGAAATAGCAGAAAAGAGTGAACAGTGTGGCCCGGACAACCAAATACATCTGAAATGATAGCGTGTAAAAGAGATATCACACAAAGAAGGGTTAAACTAGTCTTTTTTGGAAGAAATAGGAGTCGTGCTCGGGTCAGAAGTAAACAGGATTTCAGACAGAGGCTGTTTGAAATCAGGTTTACCCCTGAAACACTAGGTGGTGTAATCAGGGGGATTCCACAGGAGCAGGGAGACCGGGGAATCCAGAGGCGGGAGCCACTGCTGGCGGCTGATTGAAACCTTTCAGCGGTGATGATAAACATTTCTAAATCAACCTCAGGGAACAATGAAGACAATCAAACCCAGTCCTGCTCTTCAGTTATCACAAGCAGGAAGCTGAGACAGCACGCGGAGGCTACAATTTCAATCAATAACGGATCACACCGTAATCCTGGAATATTTATTGGTGACGCTTTAATCAATATGTTAATATTCCCTTCATGGTGCTTCATCTTTCTACAGTGGATAATTTTGTACTCAAAATGCATTCATTAGACTTAGCATTGTTTAAATGAAGACTTTCTTCTTTACATCGTTACAAAGCAGGAAATCCTTTTCTGACATCATGAAATGTGCTGGACTCTGCTGCTGCCTCGGCTTGAACACATTCGTAACATTTGCACTAGGTACGTTCCTTAAGTCAGGGTCATTTTCTAAAAAAAAGTATGTCAGTAAGTGTCCTTGTTTGCAGTAGTTTGGTACAAAATGTTTTCTTACCTTTTCAGCGGGGAAGGAGATGAATGAGCGATTTTAGTTCGGTCCATGTTACCCTCACCTCTGTTAGCACACTGGAGCCCAGAGAGAAGCAAAAAGTAACCCTGTGTGGATGTCACTCCTCCTCTGACAAGAACATGTGCGTGTGTGTGTGTGTGTGTGTGCGCGTGTGTGTCTGTGTGTGTGTGTGTGTGTGTGTGTGTATGCGCGTGTGTGTCTGTGTCTGTGTGTGTGTGTGTGTGTGTGTGTGTGTGTGTGTGTGTGTGTGTGTGTGTGTGTGTGGAAGAGAGACTGAAAGCAGGGAGGGGTTACAGGGGCTATTAGCTGTGTTGCGACCCTTAAGCTACGGTCGCATATTTGAATAAACAAAAGACGGAGACAGAGAGAAATGTTTGTTTCAGGACCATGGAAAGCATGGGCCTCCCCGGGAACAAACCACCGTGTCCTCTTGCGTTTTAAGAGCTGTAGCGGACGTCGCGGAAAGACGTTTGACTGAGTCTGACGGGACGTAAAATGGGAAAGCACTATTAAAAAGGAGGACAAAAGGAATTTATTCTGTTGCTGCAGGACGTTAACCTTTAAGACTCTGTTGTTTTGACCTTTTAACCAAACCCGTGGCTCAGTCTGCCCCAGTTGGGGGATGACCTTACTTTGATGGAATTACTACAAAGAATAATCATTCATCTCCACAAAACAATATTGCAAAATGACATGAGCAGCGTGCGCTCAAACAGACCCAATGATTTGATATGAGAAAATATGGGATGAGTTATTACGCTTGTCCTGGTCCAGACATACGGCACTTATGATTCACATCAACATTGGTCTTTTACTTTGTTCAGATTTAATGTAAACAGTATGACTTCTGAACATTTCATATTCTGTGATTTAATGTAAATATTGTATCATCATTTTATGAACTATTGTCTCTGGTTTCTTGCCGCCGAGAAGCTTTCCAAGACACTCTGGCATGAAATAATAATATTAGTAATTATCAGTATTACTCATCCTGGTGACTTATGATCATACAGACCTTTCAAGATAGATATAATTACGCTGTGGTACGGTTTGATGTCAACAGTAAAACATAATTGGTAAACACACATTGCTTAAAAGGTTCAGACGAGAAGACGGATTACATGCGTCTGTACGGGGATGTGAGGATACGGCCTGCAGCCAGTTAGCTTAGCGTAGCACAATGACAAGAAAATGGGAAAACAGATAAGGCACCGTGCACACTGCCTTGTGCATTTCTTCAGTACCCCCTAAATAATGGTCAAATGTTTACTTAATAATAAACAGCAAATTGAGATTTTCGTCCTGTTGCATATTAGCATCTTTTTGCATCGGAACTGCCAGTTGACAAGTTGCACTATTGTAATTTTCCTGAATACAGGGCATTGCATTGTGGGATTGTTAGCATAAAGAGGCACACACATACATAGTGGATACACTTTCATGCAAAATTTGGCGCACAACTACCCGTGAAACCAATTCTTTACAGTATAATGTTTTTTAAATCAATCAGATCCATGTTTTTATTGTGTGGGATGCTACTGTATAGCATGTTCTTTTTACTCTTGAGTTACAAGTAAGTTGGCGTGTGTTCAAAAGCCCAACACAGAAATGAAATGAAAGTGTTTGTGAAAATATACAAATCACATTAGGTCACTTCACAGTAACGGAACACCATCCTTCAGAAGTTGTCAACCACCACTCTGTGTGCATAAGGAATATTCTAAAAAAAGCTCACAATAAGGCTCTATTCGCCATATGAAGCGAAGCCCCGAGGCTGCATGGAAATGAGGTCATCTAGTTGGAGCCACGGCAGCTGTTTAAATGGAGAAGGGCCTTTCAAACAGCAGCCCAACGCTACAGACAAGACAGCCTTGTGTTTTCATGAGGTCATTGATGCATGTCAAAGATCTGGAAATTAGATATTGTATATAGCAGGCGTCTCAAACTCGCGGCCCGCGGGCCAATTGCAGCCCTCGGGACGATATTTTGTGGCCCCCGCCTTCATATGAAAGTGTAATGTTAGTGCGGCCCGCGAGTTCCATATTGTAGCAACCTCGCTGTTAGCAGCCACTTACAACCTCCACCCCAGTGCCGACCGTTCCATTCGCCGGTCGGACCGTCAGTGTCATCCCCCCCGTCGGCCATAATGGTCTGGCCCGCGTTCGGTCGAGGTGGGCTGCATCTGGCCCGTACCTGACTTGAGTTTGAGACCCCTGGTATATAGGAAAGAAAGACACTGTATTTTGTTCTGTTGTCACATCATTAGTACTCCATATAAGTACGACATCGTGTGCTAATAGGATAATGCTGATGAGACAATCACTGTACCTCTTCTCTGGGCCGCTAGCAAATCGTCACATCCTCTGATGATTTATCAAGAAAGATAATTAAGTATTGTCTTTAAGCAACTGATTTAACTTGTAGATAAATGTCTAATAGAATCTCATGAATTGTATTAGTTTTAATTCACAGAAGGGCATATTTTTATATTAAAAAAATAAATAGTCATTTCCTTTTGCTTCCTTTGTATGACATCACGTACAAATGATTATTGTAACATAAACACATAAACATAAATACAGATTAGTGACAACACATTTTTATTTTGGTTTTACGTTGAACAAATTGAATAAAGAAATCACGTTCGGGTACCATGTTTGTTGGAATAGGAAAACACTGGTGTTTGTGTGAAGGTTGGTGTAAACTGTGGTCTGAATCTTTTGTTATTTCTGATTATTAGCAGAGTCTTTGAGGGTCATGGAAAAATCTTCAGAACAGCAGTCCGTGTTAAAAAACCTAAATACTGCAGGTAACACCAGACACGACACATGAGGAGTGTTTTTTCCAACAATGACAGGAAACAGACTGAGCATAAAGCCGGCAGCCCGGAGTTTGGGCTTTTAAAAGACTGTCAGGAGTTTCGTTTTTATGTGAAGCGGATGTTTTGCAGCGTGACTCTAATCTAACAAAAATGTAAACTGGGGCTTTAGATAAGTGTGAACTCAACTCAACTCCCCAAACACCCTTTCTCACATCCTACTTGCTGCTCCCTGCACCGCCTTCTGAAATAAGGTCATCATAATGTAAATGATGATAATGCTCAGGACGACTACACTCTTCTTCTTTTCTTTACAGCTCGACGGGGGGCTCACTTCCAACTGAAGGACAAAACACTAAACATTTAAAAGAGAATTAGATTTTACCTGGCAGCAAAGTGGAGGAAAAGAAAATCCTGATGTATGTTTTTAAATTCCCAACCTTTGCTTCACAAATGTTGCTCTAGTGCTTAAAGGCCAAAACCTAAACCTTCTATCCTGTAGGGGATTGATAACAACCACACAGAAACACAAAGCTATTGTATAAAAAGCCTTTTTCGAGCAATTAGTTAAAGTTGTTGTATTCTAAAAATACAGATTAAAAGCATCAAGAAAAATATATTTTAATGAGATTGCACGCACAAACTGCATGTTAATCACATTAAAATATATTTTTTAGTATACTAACACAGGAAAGCACAGATGAGAGCCAACAATTTTACATTGAGGTGCCATTAAAGTCATTTTTGGCTCTCGTGTTGTCGTCTCCTAATGATTAGTTTCCTGTAGTCTGCTGCCACCTTGAGGATTGAGATGGTTGAGACCTGGTTGAGTCTCATCTGCCTCACAGACCCACAGGTGACTGTCATGCAGAGCATTCCACTCGTCATCCACTGTTTTAATATAAAGTGAATAGGAAAATATTGAGGTCGTATGCGGCAAAATAAAAGCCATACAAACACTGCACCGACTGGATGTTAACAATAAAGATAACTAATGTAAATCATACTAACAAAACTTAAACAGGGAAGCCGGTAACCTTTAGCAACCTAAAGTCCCTCTACAAATAAGTGAGGCCGGCTCCAATGCAAAAAACGCTTGGTTTTGTTTTTTTTGCTTGCGGGTGATCGAGCATGGTTGTGTCGTGGCAACAACAGTACACACCTCTCTGCACTCTCGAAAAAAATGAAAATAAACCACCACATCATCACCTCAAAACCTAATATAACATGTTTTGTGGATTGATTAAGAGAAAAGGGTTTTGTCTGTTGACCTGATGGCCTCTTCTCTCCTGCTCATGTGTACTTTAAATCTTTCCATATTCACTTAGAGGGGATTGGGAAGAAATATGGCTCTGTTTTGCATGATGCAGGGCCAGCTGCAATGGAAATCATATGTAAAATGAGGAAATGAATTCTGACCACATGTCAACCCTTTCTCAACCCATTCATACACAGAACCATCAGGAATATGATGGTTCATTTGAGGGCAAACTATTTGTGATCATTGAAGGAGAACATGAAAAGAAATTGACTGTGATTGGAAATTTCCAAGATAACTTGGCAGTCCTTTTTGGAAACATAATATAGCTTACTTTTTCAATTAAACTTTTCATGTACAATCACATCATTTGAAAAGGACATTGTCATGTTTTCATTGCAGTTACAGATTGCAGGTGCACAATCATCCACTGGTCATTTGAATTTCTGGATGTGGTGATGGAGTCGGCTGAACCACAGGGTGCCACCCTTGTTTTTTCCCTTGCCTCACCTGACAGCTCTGTACTAAAGGACATCAGGACTTCCCCAACAGAGCAACATCTCTTTGTAAACAAGAATATTTCCTTTCAACTTACACTTACAGGAATGACAAATATTGTTTGGATTTATATATGAGATGTTCAGTTAATTTTGTGAAAGTAATGAAAGAAAACAAATGAAATTAATTTATACATTACATATTCCCTGCACAAAAAATGAAAGAAACACTCTTTTATCAGGGTGTGGCATGAATTCAATTGCACTTCTCTGATATTGATCTGGTCAGGTAGGAGAGGGGGTTGCTAATCAGTTTCAGCTGCATTGGTGATGATGGGATCAACTACAGGTGCACAAGAGGGGCAACAATGAGACGACCCCCAAAACAGGACTGGTTTCGCATATCAAGTTTCTCCCTCGTGATCTCTTTCCACTAGTGTTGGCTGTAGTAGGAGTCATTACCAGTACTGTGAGCATGAGGCCATTTCTTAACCCTATTGTAGTGGCACAGATCGTCCAGCTCTTCCAGGTGGGCAAATTCACCAGCACAATCCCCAGAGCGTGGAGCAGATTCCA